CACCATGTGGAATGAACGGAAGTGTGCTAAGCAGGTGTTTATATAGCCCTAAGAGTGTTATCACAACTATCACTGCAAAACATTGATATCTCAAATCCTGTAAGCTACCCGATTTGTTAGCGGTTTGTTTATCCCATGAGCTTCCTTCTCACTCACTTCATTTTGCGGACGGACACACATACATACATACATACACACATACAGACATACAAACCGACACACAAAGTTAGCGCTTTATAAAATAGAAGGATATACTAATCAAAGATCATTAAACATTCGCCAGCTCGACCGCTACATCTGCAAAAGCTAACGAAGAACGATTATGAAATTCGTATAATAAACGTACAGTCGCCATACGCGTTTTCGCCAAGTATCCCAGACCAAGGCGGAAGTAGTGGTGTAGTGGCGCGGTCCGGGAATCAAATCCTGGGTCGTGAGTCGCCCGGGCCAACCAAGCCTTCCATCCCTCCGGGGTCGGTTAATTGGTACCAGACTTGTCTGGGAGGATAAAAACACTGACTTGTACATCGGCTGGCCCCCGCAAGTCATTGTATAGGCCACATCGCATTCAAACGTCACTACGAAAAACTATGAAACTATCACTATGTACAAATGGAAGTAAAATAGGATGCGCGGCGCATCTTAAAAAGGGATTGATCAACGACAAATGCTTTATCGTTTTATCCTGGACTATATAAACCACGAATTTGATGTGAAGTTTCCGGCATGTATCTAGACCTTCCCGTCCGCAAATTGTCCTGGGAAATAAAACCCACTGCTAACGAAATTACAAACCCACAGGCTTCGCGGCACAAATATCCCACTCTGGCCATCCTTTGTGCTGCGGTAGCAGTTTAAGGGTTAAAAGCTAAGGGAATGGGGGGGGGAATAACTGCCACAAATCCAAGGTCAAAGTCAGTATTGATATGTCTAATGTGATGTCATTACTGTGACAAGGCATTTTAACCCTGTGAAACTGGAGTTTAGTGGTGTGGAGGGGGAACCCAACAGTGTGCTCTGCAATACTAAAGATAGGAGTTGAGAGCGCTCATAACACTTCGATTCATTTGCAAGACACTTTTGTAAACATTATACTTTGAATAGATGCCGGTAGAAGGTGGAAGTACTCCTCAGGTGCTTCAGTCTGCAATGGCCCAAGGAAACTGTCGTGAACCAGGGAAATGGACATTCTCGCTTAGGTCCAAGGGTGGAAGAGCTCAAGAGTGGATGACCAGGTGCAATAAATTGGTTAGGATATAGACAGAATGTAGGGGGCTCACTAGTCCTTATCAAAAGTACCCTTCAAATGAATCATTTGCATATGATCTTACTACATTTAATGCTAGAGTCTCTAGTACTAAGCATGGGATAACAGAGAATTTCTAATCCTATTCTCCTTATGCTATATTTCAACCCAAATCTCACATAAAAGCCCACTGATCACACTCTCGGCGATCATGATGCTGTCTTCGCAAGTGGTAGGAAACGGAAAGAGAATTGGTGGGCGAAGGGGAAAAGGTGAGCTACACTGGTTGCCCACAGGCGCGTGGCCCAAGTCAGCGTTAAGGTTTTATTTCGTATTATCGTCATGACTAAGATGATACCCTCTATTTTGCTTGTAAGACACCCTTTTTGTGCACATGCGTCCTCTTCCACAAAGTGCTGACCCCAGCGAGAGTCAATAGATGGAAGATGAGAAGAGCAGAGAAATGGATTTTGCGGCAGTTGCCGTGGGCGAAACTGGTGAGAATTGTCCAGATGGACATTTAAAATAGACAAAGATAAGCACACGGAAAATTTCTGGAACCAATTTAGTCTCATGTAAATTTCCGTCAAAGAAATAGGTAGTCATTTTCTTGATACACCAGTCCCACCTCAAGAGATCTTCATAGAAGGCTAGGCTTGCAATGCGTGCGAGAGTGACTAAGATCCGTCAAATGCCGCCTGAAAAACAGATTTAGCAGAGTACCATTTTAAAGACTACAATGCTAACTACTTGCTAGCCCTTCACCAGCTCGAAATCAGCCTTTGCACGAAAGTGCCTCAAGTTCCGCTTAAACTTATCATTTATCCTTCACTCTGTCTCAAGCAATAAGTTGGTGAGTTGCCATTTGACATAACGGCAATAATACCTACCTCGGCACCACAAAGCCGCTCTGTTGCTGAGCTCGTGTCTGTGTTCCAAATCTGCTAAGTGATTTTCTGGACAATTTCTGGACAGAGCACATTGATTTATGTGATACTCAGCACTATGACTGCCAAGCTGTCTAACGATAAGATTCTACTCCAAACCACGCCCAATCTGTGCCTTACCTTGCAGATGGGACGGATGGCTGTAGTATTGGCCTAAGTGATGCCTAGGAGCCGAAGAGTGGGTTGATAATGATGAATGAACTGATTGGTATTTTTGTGATTGTGGCGTTAGCAAGCAAGTCATGATGAATTTCAAACGACACCTGGGATTCCCAAGTCGTCTTCGGTTCAAGTACTAATCAGGCCAAACGTTGCTTAACTTCTCAGACCGGACGGATGGTGTACTTTCCACGTGGTGTTGCTGCAAGTTAGGGTCAACGATTGGGTAGATATGTAGGAGAAGAGAGTGGAGATTGTGTGACAAAATGCTGTGTGGCAATTAAATTACGGTGAAACTACGAGAGCCTGCGACAGCTAGCGCGAACATGCAACACATACGCTGCATGGATACATATGGGCCGGTGGCATCGTTTGAGCTTTGGCCACCGGGCAGGTTTCGAAGCGTCTGCCACGTGATACCACGGGAAACTAGAGGGTATTTTTCTTGTGAAAGCTCGGCTATACACCTAATTCAATGCGGCTGTTGAGAATAAATAATTTGTGACGCTCGCGCCAAGTTGGTGCCAGGTCGCTTGTTTGCGCCACGAATGTTCCTCCTTGTAAATTCGGCAAAGATCTGCATGTGGAAGTCGCATCCCTAACCATGACACGAATATGACCCCGATTCACGATACAAGCTTGCAGAAACAAACCCACAACCGCAAACTGGCACCCAACACCGCAAATTTGCGTCAAGTCTGCACCTTCAAAGAGATCAGCTGCCCCATTAGACCACGAAGCGATGAAAAGGACGATTCAAGGGAAACGCATAGAACGAAGTGGACGTGAGAAACGTGATCGTAATCAAGGAGGAGTTTTGGCACGTCATCCTCTTTCGAAAAGAACAAGCTAGACTTCACTGCGCATCTGCTGAACAGCAGCTATGTTCGAGGCTTGCTGTAGCAGACCTTCTCGTCGATAGTTGATTCGTTACTACAGTAGATCGCATATAGGATAGCGAGAGTTCGATGTAGTAGTTGTGAGGGCTTTTTCTTCATTGAATGCTTTTGAGGACGTCACAACTTCGTGCTAAATCTTAATTGTTGGCTGCGTCATATTATACTCGTTGTTAATTTTATAATGTAGCAAACTCATAGAAAACAAAACATAATGCTAACAAGTAGTATTATATTTGCAGATAAGGTGCTCGAAAAAAGAGGAAAATCCAAGCGTCTGGTTTTTTCGTGGTGTCACCCGATATCGGTTGCTATCGCCCCACGCGAAAGAAAGAGTGTCGCCCGACGTCGGATGCCATTGTCGCCAAGGGTTACAGTTATGGAAGACAGATTTGAAATCAGCATCTGAATACCATCGAGCTAGTGGCACTAATAACCTTCGTTTTTGACGCCGACCTTCGCTCAACCACCCTTGCTATTATCTTTTCGTCGCACCTTCTGTCAAGTACAATGACCCAGCCAAATCTTAAAGGAATCTTGCGCGGAAAAATCATGATTCTATTTCAGCCATAAATCACTGGCTTGAGACTCATTATCCACGATAATAGTGAAAAGAACTGAAGTATTGCTTTCGTTTTGATTAGAAATTCGAAAACTCGAAAAGGCTGCTACGCGTTCGAATTGCCCACGGACGTCTTTCACGAATGCTGGCGACGGGGATGCTCAAACTTGGTTCTTGGAGTGCATTCACTAGAAGCTCTTTCTGGCCTTCTGCTTCGTTGCATTCACATCTTACACTTCTACTCCATCCTATTCCATCGATCGATTTGTCTCCACTCTCCAAAATCGCGCGCTTTAACCCGATTCTCTCATTGCGTCGCCTGGTACGTAGCCGGCCAAACGCCGTCTTCTTTCCATGCCTCGCCTGGCTCTGCCTCCTGGTCCTTCGATGGTCCATAACGTGTAGTTTTTGTACGTTTGTTTCTCTTCAGAAACCGAATCTTCATGCGTGAAACTTTGTGTGCTATTTCCAGTGATCACAACTGACATATTCATGTTAGGAAAGAGTGCAAGAATTTTCCGCGCAAGATTCCTTTAGAACCTCCGAAGCCAGAATATTGTGGCACTTTAACGGAAGTGGGGAACATTTTGTAGTTTCATTAGCTGGTCAACATTGGTTGGCCGCTTGATAAAAAAGTTTTCCACCGGCATATGGATCTGTCTCGATAATAACGCCTGCATTGTGGTACTTCTACTATTTTTCCTTTTCCGCAGCTGCTGGATGCAGGGCGTGCTATTGAAATCTTCTCCCGGAGGCAACCAAACTGTCTTCTAGCAACAGAGGCGAATATCTTCCAATGAATATAACCCTGGCCGAAAGAGCGCTCAAACCAGTTCTAAGTTCAGGTACTCCATCTACTCTAAAGCACTTCCACTCCAATAACCACTATCACTTGATCTCCAAGCTTCAGTATTCGTGATTACTCGTGCAATGATTCACCAGCGTCCACATGTTCGACCTTTGTTTTACAATCCTATCAGGTTTTTAGAAACTTAGAGGTATCCTCACCTTAATATCCTATGGTTCTATTATATGTATAAGATTATCGATTTTCGCGCACCCATCGAAGTGATGGAGTAGTGGAGTAATAATCAACCGCAATTGCAGGTAACATGAAAAGCTATTTGTCACTGCTTCTACTGCTCCTAGCTTTCATGCAAGTGACTCTGGCCTATGGTATGTTTTTTACTTCAAATATTGATTTATTTCAAGTTTGTACCGGGATGAAATGGTAATGTTGAACCATAAGCAAAAGGCTTGGCTTCTATGAGTTATGCTTATGAGAAGCTCAGGAAGGTCCACGAGGTCTAATAGTGCAATGAATAAGGGCAGTACGTGGAGGGGAGTATTCCCTAAAGGTCTCTCGGGTTTAATGTTTTGCCCTTAGCTCAAAACGCTTGAGCTCGCTTGAGCTCCGTCTACACGGACCAACAGGAGAAAAAAAAACTCATTCTCAACGGTTATTTGGTTTTAACGTAAATTGGTCCACGAAGTGATGAATATTTCAGATTCCCTACAAGGATTGCCTAAGAGAGATTTCAAACCCAATTGGGATGATCTCGGATGGGCATGGGGAAAGCGAAGTGCACCAACAGATCTGTCGGTAGGCGTTCAACCTTTTTTGCCCGTTATGGGCAGAGTATCGAACTCTAAACTACATTACAGTATCCGCGACGATTTCTACGATCGATGCAGTTGGTGAAGAAGAACCCGGACTGGCATGACCTCGGCTGGACATGGGGTCGTCGAAAGTGATCGAGCTTCTCTACACATCTGTACACGCATTATGGACATCCAAGTCATCTTCACACCCAGCCACAGTATGCCATACGAATTCCATTCAAGACCCGCCAGTGCTAAGTCGTCATCATCGTCCCATCTACCGTATTGTTTTCCGCTTGTCACATTAGCAATAGCAACATGTATAAATTATTCTTGTTGTCTACATACAGCTTGGTGCAGAAGGAAACACAGTAGGAAGCAAAGTAAGAAAAAACATAAATTAAAGGGACATCTACGGCTGTTTACTAAGACGGGGTCACGCGTGTAATGATGAGGAGATTTCCACAATCGTGGTGCAGGCCCGGTACTGCTCCAAACTACTTCCTGTTTCTGTCCTAACTTTCCTCACACAGCAGATTTTCCATTGAATGGGGTGAGGGGGAGTGAGGCAGGGTGAAAATCGGTCGAGGATTTGTCGACGACACGTCGAGGATTTTCGCCTGTTCAGTCACCCTTTCCCGCGCGGACATTCAGTTATTCACCCTGGGGGAGAGGGGAGGGGTGGAGAGGAAGAGGAAGTAAGATGGCTTAGGTATGCAGTAATGGAAACATTTTAAAGCTTGAAACAACTCGAAAAGCACCGAAGGCGCGGGTCGTGAGTGGATCCTCTGCGCGATTCTCTCCCGAGAGTGAGGTAGCAAGGTCTCTAACCATAAGCACTTGATAGCGGCACTGCAGCGAGTTGAATAGCGCGGCAGTACGCTGAGACCTTGCCTTGACCGCTGCTAGCATTGCCCTTTTTACTCGTTTGTAGCATACGCGATGTCTGATCTCACTCCAGTGAAGTGCTTTTTCGCTTATCGTTCTCTTTGGGCGGAAGTGGTGTAGTGGCAAGTGGCACGCTTACCACGCGAGCGGTCCGGGGATCAAATCCTGGGTCGTGAGTCGCCCGGGCCAACCAAGCCTTCCATCCCTCCGGGGTCGGTTAATTGGTACCAGACTTGTCTGGGAGGATAAAAACACTGACTTGTACATCGGCTGGCCCCCGCAAGTCATTGTATAGGCCACATCGCATTCAAACGCCACTACGAATGTACAAATGGAAGTAGAATGCGTGCCGCATCCCAAAAGGGATTGATCAACGGCAAATGCTTTATCCTTATCTTATTTATTCTCTTCTTGAAGACCTGTGTTCTCCGTCGTACCACGGTGGAACTACCTCACAAAGAAGAAATATCCAAAAGCGGAATTTGAGCAGCACTGGAAACAAGAGGTGGTCAGGATGAAGGGATGAAGAAATGAAAACAAGAAAAAGCGGTATAGAACATCCCTTTCGTTGAACTTTGCTCGACGCAGCTACTCTCAAGTCGCCCTTCTTATGTTTCTAAGCTATCGGGTCCCCCAAAACGAGAACAAAGTTTGCACATTCATGAGAGAGACCAACGCCAGCTGATTAGACCTGCTCATGACCTATCGTTGGGGCACACCGAAGAGAGAGAAGCCAGTGACAAAAATTCGTTAAAACACGTTTTAATACAGGGATAATTGCTAGCGGTGAGCTATACAATGACACCATGCCTAGCTAGGCAGATCTCGCTCTTAAAGAGGCAGCGCTAATTACTAAACTAACAGCACACTAGGATGAAAGATGCTCGTGAGAATGGAATGATCAGTAGCAGCGAAAACGGTCGGGTGAAAGACGAATGCTCGTGTAAGCAGAGCGTATGCAGAGGTGAGTAGGGCACCAGTTCAAAAAAAAACATGAGGGCTCCGATGAAGCTCGAAAAAAAAATCGAAAATGAAGCAATGCTTTTTGGATAAGACGTACCGGATAAGACGTATACTTTCAGAGAGCAGGAACATACTCTTTATAAGGGTGCGCACAAGGGGAGCCTCCGTGAGGAATACTAACCATTGTTCTTACATTCAGAGGGCGAAACAATCCCGAGGATCACCTCCAGTTTCATGGTATCGCAGTACGTTGTGCATGAGGAAACTTAAGAACCAAAACAACAAAAAGGATTGGTCAAGGTTCAAGTTCGCTTATTATGATTCCTTGAGTGAATGCTAGATCTTTCAACGATCGTATTTAATTTGATCCGAGAAACCTAATATTCGTTCGCTACACTGCTGCACACTGCACTCAATCATCAGAATTACATTTATTGAAAAAATGAACAATATTAGTCGGTGTTCCAAATCATATGCCAGCCGAAGAACTGTAACGCGCCATCAGTAATGAAACGCATCGTCAGCTTGCTGCCGGTCGTCTGCACAGTGTTCTCCGGTAAACTGGGTCCTGAGAAGCTGAAAGCAGGCACGATTAGCCTCTGAGTGGTTTCACTTAATGAATCGCGTGAAGTGCTTTTCCAAGAGATATGTTGGACAAAGTGCAAGGGTAAGGAGAACCGTATTTTAGCACCAGTCATAATGAGGTGACAGATCTTTATGCGGCTCAATTGCAAAGATAAAGGCAAAAGAGAGCACACGACGGCTAAGGATAACTGGGTCCCCCCAACCCTATAACTGTCACTAACCAAAATCTCTAGCCTAGCAGGTAGCAGCATACCCATTTATTCTCGTACCGGCTGCAGCTTAGCTGTGCCGAAGAATAGCATGAAAAAAGAAACCCGACAAGTGAAGAAATGTTGAGCATTGGAAAAAGCAGCAAAAAGTGCCAGTTACGAAGTTACTAAACATCCGTAGTGATAGAATTCAGCGCACTTACTGTGAACTGTGAATTGACCGGGCGCTACGGTTACTTGCTACATAACTGTGTCAAAAACGAGAGCAGGAAGCCTATTTCAATCCGTCCTGGTTGAAAAAAGTACGAAATTTAATGTACAGGTTGTTTCAACAGGTCGTGCATATTTTTGTATCTCATGCCACAAGATCCTTCAGCACATCCTAATATTAGTCCACGTAGGCTTTGAAGAGGGCACGTGTAATGACCTTCAACCTGGTGCCTACCTTTCCAAGTTTCAATCATGCCCACCCTGGTACCTTCGTCGAGTTCAAGTGACAAAAGATAAGAACCAGGCTTCTCACGCCCTGACTCAAGAACCTCTACTGAGCCAAGAACTGATTGAAGCCGGAAGCAACATCAGCTTTGCGATACACCTCCTTGTCATTGTCAGCCCTGAGGTATCAGAATGAGTGGATCATCTTCACTTAAAAGATTACAGCCGGGAGAAAAACCCTCTTCCCAGAAGGCCATCGCTATCGGATGTGGGCAGACGCTATGCTCTGTCGTGGGAACCGATTACAAAACGAGCAACCTAAAGCTGTGTGCCACATACACCCTAATGTTTCAGCATCACAGTTCATGGAGGTTTTTGCTCCATCGCAAAAGGGTTGAAGCTTTGCCAAAGGTTGCTCATGAATTGGCCACTGATGGCAGAGTGCGACACGAGTTATGACTAAAATTTGTTTCCTACTTCACCCGTACGCCCTGGTTGAACAAAGCCACTACTGCAGTTGAGAAGCTCAGGTTTCATGATAACCACATCTAGAAATCTCAGGGACTGGATCGAACAGAAGAGGGTGAAAAGTGAAGAAATTCACCACAAGGTCGTGCTCCACCTCTTTTGGTGCGTTCTCGGTAAACCACGCCAAGACATCTCACTCGTTACAGGGCTACGAAGTCCCAGCAAAAGTCTATTGTGCTCAACCAGCAGAAACTTACGGCTAATCTGCTAGATATCCCATAATCATTCAAAGAAGTAAGCCGCTTCCGACCGAGACACGCATCTCAAAAATGACGCGACTTAGATATCGAAGCTGAGAAAAGGCACCCAGGTCGCCATGGCCATTCAAGAAGAGATGTATACCACTAGATGTGCCTTTAAACGCCGATCTCAAATCTGCCTTCCAAATTTGCTAGTGAACGATTCTCTGAATAGAGCTATGAAGCAAAACAGTGCAACGGCAGTGGTCGGGATTTGCAGTAAAAACGTCATAGGATCTTAGGCACGAAGTTCCTCAGTTGGTCACTAGTGCGGATGAGTCATGAGTCCACCATGATAACGACACACAGAGCGCCTTGCGGCTACCTCGCAGCCTGGACTCACCATCTCGGGCATGAGCTCTCTCAATAGGTGATATAAAAATCGTTTCGTTGTATTCGCTGGGTATCTTGTTTTGGGATCCATTTCACTTTATGCAGACAAGCATTGCGAAGGTGACCATGGAATAGCTCCCGAAGTTGGCTACAGCAGTGCGGGAGAACGGTTCGAAACGTCTCAAAATCTCCTTTCTCCGAAGGACCTGCCCGAAATCACATTGCAAAGATAACTCGCCACGTTTCGAAGGAAACTGGCTGGACCACGGCACCACATCTATCGTATAGCCTGACATTACTCCATCGTACTATCACCTCCTTCAGCTCCTGAAAGCAGCTTGGAAGAAAACAGTCAGTAAATGCAACCACCCCAAAACGACCTCTCCGAACTTTCATTCCACAGCTCCATTCATTCTGGGAGGAATGCATCCATTCGCTCCCTAGCAAGTGGATGCTTATCAATGATTATGATGGTGGTTACTTTTTTGATCAATCGTTTTTAAGAAAGAGAAAACTTGAAGAAATCAAAGTATTGAAATTCGGCCAAAATTATGGATCAACCCAATAAATCATTTGGACAGAGATGGCAACAAGTGGCAAGAAATCGAAACGAATGGCATAGATGCGTCCTGCAAGGATGGCGTGATCACCCTTGAAGAGCGGACATCAAGGTATCAAGGTATGTAGGGAGGGGGGGGGGTACTTGCGCCTGATCATTGTTTTGATGATTGTGTGCTTGAAGGCACGCCCCAGGGTGAAAAACGTTAAGGCCCCGGGGCGTTCGGTTTCAATCCAGGGCCGCCTGGTCAATCCAGGACCGCCCACCTCCGGAAGTGGTGCGTGGCTGGCATAACGTGTGAAATCAGCTAGGTTGATTGGAAAACTTGTTTGTACGTGCCTCTTTCCCCAAGCCAGCCTCCTTCACTGCTAGTGGGAAAGAGGGTTTTGTTAACGGCCTTGTCGACGGTTTTTCTCAGTTTTTTCTCCACTGTCGTTCCACTTCGCATCTCTATACTCAGTTTCAATCGCCATAATACCCCCTTATTGAGCCCGACTTTTGCCTTTAAGCGTGGAGAGTAGATTACGAGGTAAGAGAGCGCAAAAGATAAGAGAGCGCCAGACAAGGCCCAGATGAAGGGGGAAAAATGCAGCTGCTGCAGCTTACTTTGCAAGGCCCTAGCGCTCTTGTCGGGTGATTTCCGTGCACGGGAATGCCATTTGTGATTGTCCTCTAGGGGTCTATCCTAGAGAAAGAAATCTTTCACAGGAGTTCTGCCGGAGTCATGCCTTTGATGATGGCCGACATCGTGATAGCTCAAATTTTCAGTCGTTCTTACGGTCACACACCCTACGCGCAAACTCTATAGACATGGACAATGAGCAAAGGGTAAGGTAACAATAAGAAATCTCATTGTAAATATATTAGCTACTCGCTTGAAGAAGAGCTCCTATGCAAAACTCAGTTTCACCATGTCGCCAAGGATTCGCGTTTGAGTTGTTTTACATTTGCAAGCAATAAGAGAGGGAGACGTTCCTGAAGTGTGAACTTACTTTGCAAGGAGCTTCGACTGCATATCGCCACCGTCGTAGATCTCCAAATAATCGTAATTCGATTCAGTTCTGAAGGTGTCAAACATGATGAATATCTGAAATAATAAATGCGGTGAAGATGTATTGACTCGAGCACTTGGTGTGACCACTTTGATGTAGGATCACGTCCGCGTTCATAGCTGGACTTATAAAAGTTTTCCCAGACTGAAACAAAGGATGATTCTACTTCCCACCCGCACTTCACCTTTTGCCAGACATGTAGCTGATTGAGAGAGAAGCAGAACAAAGTTGAAATTGTAAAGTGTCATACCGAGGCGTTTCCATCAGCATTTACATAGTACATCTGTTCCGTGAAGGGATTATAATTGCTGGGATAATTAGGAGAACTCATCGCACCACTGGTACCCACTTTGAATGATTGGCGCTACATTTGACCTGGAAAATTTAGTTTTCAGAGTTATGACTGTTTGTCGCACAGAGCCGATGTTAATGAGATGCTTATCCAGAATAATTCCCTAAGATGTTCCCACGTAAGCAGAAGTAGGCCCTTTCACTGCCTCCACCGTCTTCAAAATATGACGTCATCTGTCGTCACCGTCGAGCTCAACGAGGCTTGCTGTAATCGCTCCGGCCTGAAGCTGCTACATGATTTCTTCAATTGATTAGATGGTGAATAACTTCTAGGAGACACTAGCTGTTACTGTGCAAGACCGCTTTTAAACCAGCGTTTCGGGGAGGTCGTAATGGCCTATGGTACATCGACGACCTCGCTGAGGTCTCGTACCGTGAACCATGTTTCCGTGGGAAAATCTTCTCTCGATGTACTCGGTGCAGCTAGGCTGTCACGACATTGATAATTAGATTGTGCTTCATATACTAATGTGTTCCGCATTTGATTCTAACACAAGTGTGACTAGCTGGTCTGAATCATTGAACGTGAATGTCCTCTTTTTCTTTGCTCCCCTGTATGTAGCCATGTTGAATGTATAGGCATGAAAATGACTCAGTGCCGAAGACGCCACCATCTTCCTATGCTCATGGAAGGAATGTATGGATGACAGATGATGTTCCCTCTGGCGACGCCTTTAACACGCGGCAGCGATCTTATTACTGCGATATCGTGCCAAAAATTAAGCAGGAAGTGTGAAGAGAGACGTTATTGAGAAAAAAGCAAAAGCAGCTTAGAAAACACTGAAACTACTACGTGGCCACCCTAATACAGGGTGGGGCAAAATTACTGGTGCACCTAAATATAATGGATTTTTTTGAATCTTGTTGTACACTTTCTTGTCTAATTCTTTCATGGTATGTAGCTTGAACACTCTGCTACTAATACGCCCTGAACACAAATTGGTTAAGCCTTCCACTTTGTGAAATGCACCAATCAACCTCCAGCAGAGCGCTATGCGAAACCGTTCTCGACGATTTTTCAAATCCCCAAATTTTGTTCAAATAGCGTTCAAACTCGGTATTGTTCAAAACCATGGGCGTGTCTTCACTTTGGAGAGGATTACGGGTGAATTCACCAAAGGGTTTGCTTCAGGACACTGACCGTGAATGGTCCAGAAACAGTGCACCGAGCAAACCCTCAACTCCACCAATTATGACGAATGGTTCTCCAATTCTTCGGAAAGACCGATATATTTCCAAGTATGGGCTATCCTAAAGGAAAAAGTCTGCCCTATCAATTACCGAAATTTGAACCTTCTCATGACGGCGCTTTTGGAATCCTGGGACAAAATTGATGAAAAATACCTGCGTGCCACATGGCATGCGTATGCCAAATGCTCAGAGAACTGTGTAAAGGCTAGAGGCGATCATTTTGAGAACTGTTAATACGTTTTGAATTGTCATCTTTTCTACAAATAATATTCGTGATTAGAATCGATTTCTGAAAGCTAGTCTCGAAATGCCAGCAAAATATTGGTGCACCAGTAATTTTGCCCCACCCTGTACTATGAGGATCGATGTGGTACGACGAAGAAATACAGCGCAGTGAGGAGAGGGAAAACGCAAGCAGCACGCGCACACAGGAGGATGCTGCTATTGATAAGGACGAAGCGAAGGCATTAGCTCCTTTTCCTGCACTTTTGAGACGTAGCGGTACCATCTTCCCTGTGATTAGTGGTCCCGCTACTTTCACCTCACTCGAAAAGAAAATCTTCCCAAGTGCCTAATCGCGACAAGTATGTAAATACCTTGAACTTCCATGTCCTCGCGGAGTGCATCTACTGATTTTAGGTTTAGGTCGGTCCACAATTTTTGAGAACCTTTGGTGTTTTTCGATTTAATTACTTATCTTATTTCTCTGATGTATTTATTCAGCAGTATACATCACCATTATTACCAACATATAACCAATGCGAGGGTGGGTATTCAGTGTCTCTCTTGTAGAATTTCATAGAGTTCTGATCGAAGAAAAATTGGATGTCGATTTTGACTTTATGGTGATTCAAGTGAGATTTCTTCTCCAGGTGATTAAAGCGAGGGATTACGATAAGTTTGGACTGGGTTCATAGTGGAAGTGGAGATGCTGAATAATGCCCCAGTGGCGAAAAAAGCAAAGAAATCCGTCAAGAAGGCGCAAAATGGGACCCCTTTCTTTGCCCGTTGACCTCCGATAATGGACGAGCTAGCAACCAATTAGGAGGTCGTTTGCACATGTTATGCTGATAGCCTCTATCATTTCAGCAAGCATCATGCTTTGATTGATCACGCATCC